TTTTTTTAAGAAAGACATTTTTTATATTGTTAAAAAAATGTCTTTTTGTTTTATTTAACAAAACAAAACAAAAAGACATTTTTTTAACAATATAGCCTATTGCACTATGATTTCTAAAAAAACCATAGTGGGTTGTTTTGTTGCTTAATTTTACTAATAAATAGACGAGTAAAACCAGGTCAAACTACACACCACATTATTCCGCCATAATACACCACAGCATTCCGCCATAATACACCACAGCATTCCGCACACTGATCGAAGTTTTTAAATAAAAACTAAACGGACGAGCTATGAAAAAAATTAAAAATAGGCTTGAACACATAATTATCTCCTCTATGCCAATTAATAAAATTATATGTATATCCCAATTACCAATTTTTTCTTTTTTTAAACAACTTTATCAGGGGATCAAAAATTTTTATATATTTCTTATCGTTGAGAACAAAATAGCGCTAGAACCGAAACTGATATAAAAGTAATTTAGCCCTTGATGTTATTTTAACCCTTGTCTTGTTGGAAATTAAATTTCCATTCTGAGAGTATAACTTTAATGCAGCTATAAAAAAAAGATAAAACATTTTGTTATAACTGCATTAAAGTTATACTATCTGCGCGAAGTCACTTAGTCAATTAATTGAGTGAGGGGTTCTATTAAAAAAGAGAGCCTGTTTTTACTTTTTAATTTTCTATTTATTTTATATAGAAAATTAAAAAAGTAAAATCAGGCTTTTTTTTTAATAAAAACCCAATTAATTGACTAATTGACTTCGCGCCTATCTTTATCTATTTAACATGGTGTTAGTTCAATTAAAAATGAATTAATATGTTCAACATGATCATAGTTGACTCATTAAAAACCAATTATTATGTTATTTTGCAATATAATCACTAACTTAATTCGCTCACTTTAAAATGTCAAATTTAAAAAAAGCCTACAAGGAAGATACTAAGATACTAGCCACATTAACTGTTATGAATCAAAAAATACTTCACTGAGAAAAGCTGAGTTCAAATATAGCGTTCCAAGCTCAACACTTGAAGAATGTAAAAAAAACAACAACAAAGTTTCCATGGCTCAGATACAACAACGACACTTTGAAAAAAAAACAGAAAGAATGATGCGTTCTAATCACTTGGTGACTGGAGTTATGATTTGACACAAAATGAACTTCTTTAATTTGTCATTGGCTACCTTAAACGCAAAGATCCCTCAAAAATGGTGAGCATGTTTTTATGGCTTTATAAAGAGAAGGCCACAAAAAATTTATTCGGACAACTCAGCATCTAACAGAGCTGCTTCTTGTACACCAAAAATAATTGACCGTTATTTTGAATGCATCACTAAATAATTAAAAAAATAGAATTTTCTGGTGATCAAGGCAAAACAATCGTAGTTTATCGAAAAGGGACAAAATCTGCATTTAAACTTACTGGCAACAATGAAAAAAGTAATTATTTTGTGTACAATTACTGCAAAAGGTTGCTAAACATAACTTTTTGTGTTAAGTTTAGCAACGTTTACAGCATCCTTTGCAGCCTTTTCTTTATCTCTGTGTTTTGAGGAACTTGAGCAAATTCTCTTCGGTAATACATTTTTCGCCAAGTTTTTACAAGTTGCACTGCTTCAATTTTTTAACATGCGATTGGTTTCAGGCTTGAAAAAATAGCTTCAACTCTATCGTGATAACGCTTTTGCAACCCTCAACTCATGCTTTATATCTATTAAAACTCGAAGCTTGCGTGGTTAATCAGTGTGTAGTTGCAGTAGGTACTGCGGCGGTTTGAAAAAAGTTTGAAAAAAAAAAATTGAAATAAAAAAAAAAAAAATTATTTAATTTTTATTGCGGTTTAACTAGAGGTCAAAGCCGCCGCCATTAGCGAGAAGCCGCCGCCACTTGTACCTACTTTTTACAGCCGCCACTTTGCGTTATTAGCAACTACTAAGCCGCCAATCAAACAATATATTCAGCCGCAGCCGATTTCAAAGTCACTTTTGTTGGCTGGAAGAAAAAAAAGAAGAGTTTAATAACCCAAAGTTCTCTTGTATAACTTAAAAGCAACTAGTTATTTGGAGCTTCTTTTTTTGTGTGTGTAGCTTTTCCGTTTGCCATTTAAATTTTCTCTAAGATGAAATAGTAACAACGCACTCCTCCGTTTTATAAGTACATGAACGTCCGCTCTTTCTTTCATATTTTTCAAATATTCTTGGCTTATAAACATTGGCTTCGCTTTAAAGACACAAACAGAGTTTGTATTACTTTGTAATGGATCAAGAAGAATCGCATAATTCACATAACAATTCTTTAAAATACTTGAACATTAAGCTGTGCAGCTCATTTAAAAAAACAACCACAGATTCATCATTAGTATGGAAATACTATGGTCAAATAATGACACGAAATGGTAAAGTTATCGACGATGTACATTATTACTGTAGCGAATGTTTTTTGATAGAAAAAGGAAAAGTCGAGTCCTCAGGTGCAGGTCATTTATCAAAAATTCACAAGGTTAGGATTTCCACATCAAGCAGTAATTTGAAAAACCATCTATTTATTGTTCACAAAATATTAACAGACAAACCTGCCGCTGAAGTGAAAAATGATCAACTTTTACGTAGATGGTGCAGTACCTCTATAGCAAGTTCATCGAAATATGATTTAAGTCGCGATCTTGTCCTTTGGTTTTCTACAGATCTACTACCATTTTCTCATGTTGATAATGAAGGATTTAAAAAGTTTTTTGAGAAAAACATTGGTCTAAAACTTCCCACAGGTTCTGCTGTGAGTCAAGTAGCATTACCTAATATGTACAAATCTTTAAGGCGATCTGTATTGGGAATTTTACAAAATATTGATGCAGCAACAATTTTATTTGATGGTTGGACTGACAAGTATAAAAAAATTAATTATATGGGTCTGAAGTGTTCCATTATCAATGAAAACTGGCATAAAAAAATATTTACTTTGGCTTGTTTGCCTTTAGAATCTCATACAGGTGAAAATTGTCATAATTTTATCAAAGACATTGTTCAAGAGTTTTTTCAGAGGCGTTGTAGAGATATGAGGCTGCATACCGTACATGACGGTGCAGCGAATATGATGAAAACCTCTAGACTTTTAGGTTCAAAGGATCCACAACATTGTCTAGCTCATATCTTGCATTTAATATTGACATGTGATGGCATAGATAATTGTACTGAAACAAAATGTTTGTTAGAAAAATGCAGAAGAATTGTAACCTGCCTGAATTTCAAGTCAACTTTACTTTTAGAGGAATCACACTGTGAAGCAGACATTCTTGCTGAAGTGAAAAACATTGATGATTTAGAGCAGCAATTTCCCATTCAAATTGATGATGAAGCAAACATGATTGACACAAATAATTTAGATATTTCTTGTAATGAAAAATTTGACGATAATTTCATAAAAAGACAACATAGAAGTCTGAAACAGCAAATACGCACAAGATGGAACTGTGCTCTCTTTATGATAGAATCAATTAACCAATTATTAGATCCTGTAGAAATTTTACTTAAGAAATGTGGTAGACAAGACCTTTGTTTAGATAATGATGAACAAGCTTTGATTTCAGAATTGGTTAAATTTTTAAAACCATTTGAATCATTAACCCTTGTGGTCAGTGCTGGAAATTCGCTTTCTATTTTGCCATTAGTTAAACACAAAATACTAAAACTTCTTTCGATTAACTCTTGTGATTTGAATGAAATAAAAAAATTAAAGGAGTGTTGCTCCCGAAAAATTGATAAAAGATTTAAGTTATCTACTTCTGCAAAAATTTGCTGTTTTTTAGATCCAGCCACTAAAATTTTATATACAAGAGATGAAATAAAGGAAAGTTTGTTGGAGAATGCATTAAACATAAAAGTGAACCAATTAGATTTAATTCAAGGTATTATATGTCTATACAACTAACTACATCAATAAAAGAGGTTTTTGTTTTGGAGACAATTACTGAAACACAAACAAATTTTATTTAAAAAATAATTAATTTTTTCATATTGTTGAAAGTGGAAAATAGAGTAGTTATTATTTTATTAAATCATTGAGTTCATCAAGTAATGTTTGTTTATTATTGATATCGTTTTTTATTAAATTGATTTATCTGGTTTTAGTTATATCAAAGTCAGACAATGATGAAGATTCAAAATCAGGTCCTAGTGCTAAGCGACAACTACTTCAAGAGATGAAGAAAAGTGTTACTTCTGCGGATAAAAATTATCAAATTATCAAAAAGTAGAGCAATTTATCTCTCATACACCTACGACAGATGAAGAACTGGATTGTTTATTGTTTTGGCGAAATCATCATGCAAAGTATCCACACTTAGCAGTGCTTGCAAAAGAGTATTTTAGCATACCAACCTCAAGTGTATCAGTGGAGTCCATGTTTTCACTAACTGGATTGATTTTGAACTCAAGAAGAAGCAGTTTAAGTTCTTTCAACATAAACATGACTATCTTTATTCATGATAATATCAGTCTTCTTTGATTTTAATTTTAATTGAAAAAAAAAGTTGCGTTAATTTAAATTTATCATTATTATTATTGTTTTCTTTTTGTCGAAAACAATACTTATTTTACTTCAGAGCAATTTGCGCAGCCAGAAGCCAGCAACTTTGTTGGTCAGCCAGTATCAGCTAGTTGGCCAAGTTGCTCAGCTTTTAGCCACCTGCTAAATCTGTCAGCCAGCTAGTGCAATGTTCTAAGCACGGCTTTAAACTCTAGGTTTAACCCGCTTTTACTCTAAGCATTATCTAATCAATATTTATTACATTGGTATAAAGTTAGTAAATTAATAAATGATTAATTAGTAAATAAATTATTTTGTCTTTTTAGACGCTTAATGAAAGTAACCAATAAAAAACGTGTTTTATTAGAAGTCATTGAACAAGAAAATGATTAAGTTTAATTTTTAGAGCATTGAATATTTTTTGTTACGAGTCTTAGCATCTATGTTCTTAGATCTAAGCATCCTGACAAAAGTGTCCTTTATAAATGACACATACTTAAATACCATTTCATATTACTTTGCAAAACTGTTTAAAGATGTATTAGAATTGGGAATTTTTTCATAACTCGTAAATTTTATTGATAAATTTTTAGTATTTTAAGAATTTTCGATCTGTTCGGAAAATTTAATCTTAAAAGACTTTAGCATTTTAAAAAAAACAAGTTTGCGCCTTGAAATTTTAAATCAGTTACACCTGTTTTTTTTGAGCAGATTTTAACTACGTTAATAGTGCATTGTCTGTGTACATTGTGATTATATATAAAATTGTTATAAAACAAAATCTCTCCGTTTTGTTTTGAAGACAAATTTGTAAAGTAAACGAGGGTTTGTTATTGAATAGTTTCCTATTTTCGTTTTAAAAAACTTAGGAGTTAGTAATGAGAAACTTATAAGAAGAGCAAAATTGAATGTTTTAGCTGTTCACACTCCCATTCTTTGGGGAAGAGGGCAGCTTTCCCGCTCGTTTCACGCACTATGCTGAATTCGCCACTACAAATAAAACAATATTTAAATCGCAAAGTTGAAGTTTAGCTAAGACAACTAAAGGTATAGAAAGAGGTAGACTGGGTATTGCATTGTAGAGGTGGACTGGGTACCTGCGTGACAAAGTTATTTAATTTTTATTGGTTATTCTAGCAGTAAAAAATAGTCAATATTTAATAATCAGATAAGCATTTTGATAGCGGTGTAGTCGTAGAGTTCTTGCTTCATAAGCGAGAAATTTAGATTTCGATCCCCACCACGTCCCTGGTAGTACCGCGCTCAACTAATTTCACCGCGCAGCGGCCTCCAAAACATAAGGTTTGTGTTTCGGAGTTATAGAGTTGAGAGGGTTGTAACTGCAATTAAATATCGTTTGTAGTGGCCTTCTCGTCTTTGGGAAGGAAAACTTAACATTAAAAAAAACAATTAATCTGATTCTATCTTCGAACCTTAATTTCAAATTGTCTTAAGTAAACAAAATCTCTTTTTAATTTAATTAAACGGAACAATTTTTAGCTTTAATTAAATTATAAAAATTTCAAAAGACTTTGAATGTAAAACAAGGGTGTTATATTTTATTATAACAAAAAAAATTAACATTTAATCATATTTATTATTTTTCCATCCGTTTCTTAGACGTTGTTTTTAACGTTCTTTGCCGTTTCTCACTAATTTGTCTTCTATAAAATAACTTTTAGCTATTATCCTATTTTAGTGTTATCGATTGAATCTAAAACATTGCTTTGAACATGCTGTTTTCCTAAACTATCATTGGTGTTTTTTTTATTCTGCTCAAAATCGTATGTCTCAAACTCTATATATTTCGGTTGTACCTTTTTTCCGAAGAAATTTACAAGAATTAGCTTAGAAATTATAAAAGATAAGGGTAAACCAACAAACGAAATATACAACATACACAGTGATACTTTAGGAGTTCCTATCGTACCCAATGCACAAAATATTGACCAAACAGGAACGGTAGCTACGTTAAATATTGCATAAAAGTAGTTGTATGAATCGGATTTTAGCTCATTTAAAGCTGACGGAAGTAAATACTTTTTTTTTGTTAAAAAACCATAAAGGAAAATGAACAAGTTCGATGAGCTTGAACAAAATACTACGAGGGCAGCAACACGAATACTTGCTTTCGTATCCTCGTTTCCTTTTTTTGAAAATCCTAATATCAAGCTACCCAAAATAGGACAAAGGCTGACAAATGCAAGAAATATTTTTTGAAAATGTAGCATAATTGCAGTTACAGTTCTAAACATGTTCAAAACAATGTGATTAACGTACCAAAGAGTTAAGATAATAATAAAGGTAGCAAGAAAGGAAAGAAATTCAGGTTTCATGTTATCTAGTGCAGATAATAGTCCGTATTTTTGAATTCTTTCTTTGGATGGAAAATTCTTTTCAGTGATGTCAAGAATCAAGATACATGCGACAATAGCAATAATAGTATCACTCATAACTTCAACTCTATCTTTTAGAATGCTCCCTTTAGAAAAGAAGAAGTAAAATTGATATTTTTCCATCTTTGAACGTTTGTCGATTCGTTGTCGAATAAACAGGTGAAGGTTACGAATTGTTGGCATGAATACTAAAACAGCAATAAATGACCAAGAAATAGCAAAGTGTATAAAACAAAATAAACCACCGGCTAAAACAAGTAAAAAGCTAACAATTGGTTTTATTAAAAATATTGTTCGAACTTTGCGTAGTTCACAATTGGACCATTTTTGCATTTCTATATGAAGAATTCTTGGTGATGAGGTGGCGTAGCAAATCAACACTATGTCAATTATTTGAATCAATCCCAAAATGCAACAAGTTAAAATTGTAGACGCGATTTCAAATGGGTAGTGCCCTTGAAGTGCTAATAAAAAAGGAAGTACTGTGGTAATTAATAATTCACTGATAACTAGCGTTAACACAATATCATCGATACGTTTAATTACCATTGCTCGTATATTAATATTCTCCCATATTGCCAAGATAACAGCGAATCCGAGGAAAAACATAATAACTTCAGTTTGAATTTTATAAATGAATTCAAGAAGAGTTTGACCATTTTTCAATGAAACTAAGTTTCGTATTGGAACGACTAGAAAAGCTGCGCAGATTGCCATTATAACGTCAGCAAAAGCGAGCAAACGCTCAGAAGAAACAACGTCGCCATTCTGGTAGGAATCTGGTAATATTTCAGTTAAGTGTTCATCAAAGTATTCTTCGGTTTTACTTTTCTTTTTAATGCGTTTTAGTTTAGTATTGTTATATAAACTTCCATTACCCGTGTCTGCTCTCGCCATTATAAAAACTTTACAAAATCTACTAAAATTCTACGGAGTCACAACCAACGTAAGTTTTATATTTTGGTAATTGCCATTTGTTAATCTTGTTTTAATATATATTTTTTTTTTATTAATTATTTTAATAAGTGACTGGTCATTTATTTACCAAATCTAACCGCACTGCGTCATTTTAGATTAGTTAAAAAATAAATCTAATTTTTAGGTTAGTGTTGTGATTATGAAAAATTATAGATTTTTTTTTTTAAATAAACTAAAAGTTTTTATTATAAATTAACAATAATAGTTATTTTTTTTGTATTTCAAAAGAAAAAAGCGAGATTTTGATTGATTTAAAGGATTTTATGTAATCTCCCGTACCCTCTAATCATTTTTTTGTTTCAAGGCGTGGAGTCACCGTCCTGGAAACTTATGTTTAGTAAATCAAACTACCAAATATTCTACTTTTTTATTTTTGAAAAAAAGATGTTTGATTATATATATATATATATATATATATATATATATATATATATATATATATATATATATATATATATATATATATATATATATATATATATATATATATATATATATATATATATATATATATATATATATATATAATATTATATTTCATAGTCTCTTTCCAGAATAATAAGTCCACTGTTTATCTTACACTTGGGTCTTGTCATTTTTTTTAAAACTTTACTTACATGAAAATTAGTTGCTAACTTACAAACAACATGACATCAACATAATTACTCAAATAATGACGTATTTATAAACAAATAGCCGTTTTTTGTTTTTGATTATTTGACCATTAATTATTAGTTTATTTTGGTATAAGTTTAATTGACAGTTTTTAAAAAGTTCATCTTTTTTAATAAGAAAAGTTATAGTATTTAATTCATATATTTTTAACGTAATAAATTCTATTGTTAAAATTTAATGTTGAATTAAGTCACTGGTTTTATCTATTATTACTAGGGAGTTTAGGCAATATTTATAGCAAATGTAAATATTTTTTTATATTAAATGCATTATATTCCTTATTATATTTCATTTTCAAAATGGTTTTAACCACCTCTGTAGCTTATTTAGTTTCAAAGATATACGTGTTTATATATTTTCAATTCATAGACTTTTTATGAAATATTTTCTTAAAGTATCTAGTTAAATTTTTGGCACACAAAAAAAAAACTTTTTAATGTTTTTTTTTATTGCGTAAAAGGTTGTGTAAACTAACTTATAATAAAATTTTATTAAAAGTTAAATTGTAAATCCAAACTGAACAAAATTGAACAATTCATAAGTAGAATTTTTTGGTGGGTTAACGCAGACGTACCATGAAATAGTCAATTAACAGTATAATATGTTTGAATATGTTTTAAATTTTTTTGTACAAAATAAATTTTCAAATGTTTTAATTTATAATACGTTAAGCGTAACAAAACTTTGATGATAAACATTAACTTAAATTATTTTTATTAAAATAAATTAATTTTATTTTTCTTTAATAAATTATCAAATGAACAACGTGGACCCAAATAAAACAGGCCGAAAACGTCAAAATACGTACAAAAGAAACATAAATCTAAAATTTATTTTTACACAAACAAAAAAGATTTTCAACGACTTGTTAAAGAAGTCAACGACTTGTTAATAATTTCAGTATTATTATAAATTCAAAAAGAGATTTAACCACTAATAGTCTACTGTTTTGACTAATTTATTGTTTTCAGTACCTACGATAATATTAAAAAACTTTTTTTAAATGGGGTTAGGGCTTCTAACTTTTTTGAAAATTTTGAAAACAATGAATGAAAAACTCGTTGAATTGTTCTATTTTATTGTATTTGGCTTTAATTGATTGTATACTCTCGAGTCCATAATTAAAGGGAGGGGTGGCGTTTATTAATTTTTGAGAAACTTTGCCTCCCACCCTAAGCTTATTAAGACCCCCCTCCCGTTTATTAATTTTAACTTATTATTAACAAAAAAATGATATCTAAAAACTAAAAAAAAAAAAAATCAGTGAAAATCAGCTTTAAAAATTAAAAAATATATACTAGTTACTGATAAGTAATAAAACTTTCAGTGTAAATTCTGACCACCCCCCCACCCCCCGGTTTATTAAATCTTGACTAAACTCCTCAACCCCACCCACACTTATATTACCCCCTAACTAGTATGAGGAAATTGAGAGTACATAGATTAACAGATATGAAATTAACATAGATTAACAGTCATGGAAATAAACAGTCATAATAACATAGATTAACAGTCATGGAAATACTTATACGGATTATCTTATCTATCTATTCGTCTTAAATTTTTCAATAGATGTCTTAAATCGTTTTTTCCTCGAAATAAATTATCGCACTATTAATGTACCCAAGTTTGACTATATGTTGCAAACTATTTGAACACAGAAATTTCAATTTTTAAAATTCTTTCAAAACTTTGCAGACATCATATCTGTAAATTTACTGAAAAAATATTTTAATTATCGAATTGCAAGAGTAGGTTAAGTGTGTATTGTCAACAAACAATTTTATACATAATTTGCCTTGGCTATTTCGTTTATAAATTAGACAAAATTGTCAAACTTACTTAACGAAGTGCACCAACGAGAAGGTAAGCCATAGGACTTTGCACTCCATCAGTGAGCTGTCATGTTGCCTAAGATTAGCCCTCCATTTCTGGATTCTTTCCTTTACTTGATAGGCAGTTCATGTGAAAGTAATAGTAAATTAGCCTAAGGTTAGCCCTCCATTTCTGGATTCTTTCTTTTACTTGATAGGCAGTTCATGTAAAAGTAATAGTAAATTAGCCTAAGGTTAGCCTTCCATTTCTGGATTCTTTCCTTTACTTGATAGGCAGTTCATGTAAAAGTAATAGTAAATTAGCCTCAGGTTAGCCCTCCATTTCTGGATTTTTTCCTTTACTTGATAGGCAGTTTATGTAAAAGTAATAGTAAATTAGCCTAAGGTTAGCCCTCCATTTCTGGATTCTTTCCTTTACTTGCTAAGTAAAAGTAATAGTATTTTTGCATAAGCTTTTTTTTTTTTTTTTTTTTTATAATAATAATGTGCAGTTAAGCTGCAAATAAACAACAACAAATAAACAAAATTGGTACAGATAAACATATCAGATATGATTCATACTATTTATAAAGATAAAAACCACAGAACTCAAATTCAGTAAAAACACTTTATTGGAACATAACAATAAAAGAAATAAGATTAATATATACTATAGCATTATTCTAAATTTACATTAAATAAAATTACCTTGCAATCATAGCTACAAAGTATAAGATCACCTTTTTCAAAATCAATTAATAAAGGAAATGACCATACTTCATCATGTTCATTATCGTACTTAACAAGGTATGTAGTTCGTCTACCGTTTAATTGATCAATTTAAACCACTTGCGCACATTCCCGAAATACTTCATGAGCATCTTCTTCTCTAACACAATGTTGTATAGAAATCCTACAAAATCAGATGGATTGTTAACAAATTTTGATAAGGAGTGATTTTTTTGTTGCTCTATTAATTTGTTTAGCCTTGCATCCTTAATTTTTTCCATTAATTCTTTTTTTGTTTTGTTTTCAACAGCTGCATCACGTATTGTACGAGGCTTTAAATTATTACTTATATTAGTTAAAGATTGTTTGTTTGGTGTTAAATTTGCTTGAATAACAATAAAAAGATTTTGATATAGTTCCTCTGAAGACAAGTTTATTCTTTTGCATCCTTCTACCTTTGTTTTACAAAAAAGTTTTTTGTCACAATCGACATCTAAGATTATGCGATAAAAATTAAGTTGAGCAAGGAGTACTTTTGATTTAAATGGCTCTTCTATATAAGAAACTGTTTCCTCTGCTTCCTCTAATGATATTTATGCCCTTACATTTAAATTTATCAAATCATTACAAGCTGCAACTTTTTTATGTTGTAGTTTAATTTCTTCTCGATTTTTTTTTTCTTGGTTTGCTAGAAGGTGCATACCTTTATCTTTTTTAAGAGCTTCTTTTCTTTCATCATATTTGCTTTTCATTAATATTACTTTAGTTCTTGAATATTCAAGTAATTTTTTTCTTTCTTCATCTGATTTACCATTAAGCCATTCTAATGTTTGGTTATGAGACCACATTGTCAAAGCCTGGATAGTTTAAACATTTGCATTGGGTTTTGTCTTTTTTAATTGCTTTTAATAAATTATTAGGGTTAGGGCAAGCATTAAGAAATTCTGTTATAGCATCCTTATGATAGTATAGGGCAGCTGCATTGTAATATAAAATATCAAAACAATTTCCAATAAACGGAACAAAAAAAGATTTATCATTACAAGAAGAAAGAAAAGAATTAAACCATGATGCAACACCAGCTTCCTCACTGCACCTTGAATGAAATGGCTTACATGTGGTACGAACTAACCTTACAGCACCACATTCTTTACCACTAAAAGCAAAAACAGTTTCAAAATCATTTTGAAGCAGAATTTCTTCAAAAGAATTCAAAACCTTATCAGTTTCAGATGCAAAATTAGCGAGCAAATGAAGTTTACAGAAAAAATTACTCATGTCCTTCATATTGTCTATGACATCTGAAGAAAGCAAATCCCAGTTATTAATTGCAATCGACAAAAGTTGTTCTCTTAATGTTTTTAACTATGAGTTAAAAAGAGGATTAACCGAAGAAAGATCAGACATTGTTGATTTTATTGATGTTATTAGTTTAGCAAAACTAATTTCTTTTTCAGTGGCTGAGTTGCTAACAACGTCACAAATGTCATCTACTATATTAGTAAAGTTTTGCAAGACAGTTGCTGCATCTTTGCCAACCACTTCTGACAGACCAAAAGATAAAGTTTTCCCACTAGTTGTAGTAATATGAAAGTTTTGATAATGCTTATGGTATTTCTGAGTACCATCACCATGCAAACAATTGCCTATTTTAGATTTTTTATTTATCAAATTATTTTCAAGTATTGCTTCTGCAACTTGAAATTGACCTAGAATTGAAGCTTCCTGCATTAACCT